AAATACTAGGTCCACTATGTATTCCATCTTTTTCGTTTTTTATTGTAAATATCACATATTTTCTATACTTATTTTGTGTAACATATTATAAAAGTTTCAAATATGTTACAGTAAACACATGCACACCCCAAAACTAAATTCTCCAATTAGCATCTTACAATACTTATCACATGCCTATTCATCTAGCCAGTCCTCTAGCTATCCCTCAGCCCATCTTTTTTTTTTTTTTTTTCTTTTTTTAAATTTTGAGACAGAGTCTCACTCTGTTGCCCAGGCTGAAGTGCAGTGGTGTGATCTTGGCTCACTGCAGCCTCAATCTCCCAGGATCAATCAACCCTCCTGCATTCCAAGTAGCTGGGACTTCAAATATAGGACACCATCCCTGTCTAATTTTAAAATTTTTTATAGCGACAGGGTCTTGCCATGTTGCCCAGACTGGTCTGGAACTCCTGGGCTCAAGCGATCCTCTCACCTCAGCCTCCCCAAAGTGCTGGGATTACAGGCCAGTACGCCTGGCCCCATCTTATTTTTTAACCCATTTCAAAGTAAGTGATAGGCATCAATGTACCTCCCCTAAATATTTCAGCATCGGCTGGGCACAGTGGCTCACACCTGTAATCCCAGCACTCTGAGAGGCTAAGGCAAGCGGATCACAAGGTCAAAATATGGAGACCATCCTGGCCAACATGGTAAAACCTCGTCTCTACTAAAAATACAAAAATTTTAGCCAGGCGTGGTGACACCCACATGTAGTCCCAGCTACTCGGGAGAGGCTGAGGTGGGGGAATCACTTGAACCTGGGAGGTGGAGGATGCAGTCAGCCGAGATGGCGCCATTGCACTCCAGCCTGGAGGACAGGGCAAGACTCTGTCTCAAAAAAAAAAAAAAAAAAAAAAAAAAAAAAAAAAAAAAAAAAAAAACCAGCATCACATCAGTATTTTCTAAAACACTCTGAGTCATTTTTAAATATAGCCAGCTTTGAGAACAATTGTGAACCACAACAAACTATGCTCAATTCTAGCTCATCGTTTCCTGGCTTGTGGTACAGAAGGGGTTTAAGGAATTTCTTTCTCCATTTGCTCCTGAGAAATCCTTTTAAAAAGCCTTTCTGAAAAATCAGTCACGGGCCAGGCACAGTGGCTCACACCTGTGATCCCAGCACTGTGGGAGACCAAGGTAGGAAGACTGCTCGAGTTCAGAAGTTCAAGACCAGCCTAGGCTAAATAGTAAGACCGCCTGCCTCAGCCTCCCAAGTAGCTGGGACTACAGGTGCGAGCCACCATGCCTGGCTAATTTTTGTATTTTTAGTAGAGATGGGGCTTCACCATGTTGGCCAGGCTGGTCTCGAACTCCTGACTTCAGGTGATCCACCCACCTCAGCCTCCCAAAGTGCTGGGATTACAGGCAAGAGCCACCTTTTCTCTGAATAAATTCACCCTCCTCATCCTTCAATGTGTCCACATGTCTAATGTTTCCTGGTCTTGAGAATTTTAGCTGAACTAAGGAGCATAAACTTCCGTATCAATTGCATCATTGCATTCCAGCCTAGGAGACAGAGCAAGACCCTAACTTAAAAAAAAAAAAAATCAGACAAATATCTAAGTACTAAGTAAATACAAGCTGAGCAGATCAACGTGATGTTAAACTCCAGGAAAAGACCAAACAATGACTTATATTGGTAGTAAAAAGGAAAGTAATCTCATAGATTCAATTCAGGATGTCTTTCAACTGATGGTTTTTCTCTAGGTATTTTCCTGTGGGTAACAAGAGAAAGTTCTTTTCTTCACTCTTTGATTGCTTTACTGTACACTCCACCAATATTGGTAGTGGCCTTTAAGTATTGTCTGTTATCAACCCCTCTTCCAATCCCTCTGGTCCTCACATGTACTTAAATCTTCAGGATTTTGTGAGAGCAGTTAAAGCAGTTCGAGAGCACTTCCCACTCCCCTCCCCAAGTTGGCTAAATGAAGATGCCAATTGCTTGTAAGAAGTGGATTGATTTAATGATCTTGGCCATTAAGAAAAACATGAGTTTGGATGAGTTAACAGCATTTTAGTGTTTGCTCTTATCCACCGGAGTATCTAAAGCTCCTGCAAAGGCTGGGCGCGGTGGCTCAAAATAATAATCCCTTTGGGAGGCCGAAGCAGGCGGATCACCTGAGGTCAGGAGTTTGAGACCAGCTTGACCAACAGGGGGAAACCCCATCTCTACTAAAAATACAAAAATTAGCCATGTGTGATGGTGGGGGCCTGTAATCCCAGCTACTCAGAAGGCTGAGGCAGGAGAATCACTTGAACTTGGGAGGCTGAGGTTGCAGTGAGCCAAAATCACCTGGTTGCACTCCAGCCTGGGCAATAGAGCCGGACTTCGTCAAAAAAAAAAAAAAAAATTCCCACAGAGTAAACTGCCTGAGGACTTTATGCACACCAGTTGCTAATTGATCCTAAAAGTTTGCTCTTCTGGTAGGCAGAAAGAGCACACCGGAGAAATACAAACGTACATGTTTACTGAGTTCTACTGACCTCAGCTTCCTGAGGGGTTGTGTACCTCAGCTACCGCCAGTGAATTTGTGTCTTAGGTTACAAGTTTTAACTACAGTGCAAATTTGTTACAAGTACTAGAATATAATGAAAGGAAGTGCTGTCCTTAATAACTTCAACTTATACCCAATTGTTGTTTCCTGTCATGTACTAGAATATTATTTATTCCCAATTTTGTAGATGGTCCAAACAATCAAATCACAATAGGCCAGGCATGGTGGCTCACACCTGTAATCCCAGCACTTTGGCAGGCCAAGGCGGGCAGATCACCTGTGGTCGGGAGTTCGAGACCAGCCTGACCAATATTGAGAAAACCCATCTCTACTAAAAATACAAAATTAGCCAGACATGGTGGCACATTCCTGTAATCTCAGCTACTTGGGAGGCTGAGGCAGGAGAATCGCTTGAACCCGGGAGGCAGAGGTTGCAGTGAGTCGAGATTGCACCATTGCCTGGGCAACAAGAATGAAATTCCATCTCAAAATAATAATAATCATAATACTAAAATAATTAGTTGGTATTTGCTAAGTAATGAGATTTCTGCCACTTTATTTATTTTATTTTTATTTTGTTTTTTGAGATGGAGTTTTGCTCTGTCGCTCAGGCTGGAGTGCAGTGGTGTGATCTCGGCTCACGGCAACCTCCGCCTCCTGGATTCAAGTGATTCTCCTGCCTCAGCCTCCCAAGTAGCTGAGATTACAGGAATGTGCCACCATGTCTGACTAATTTTGTATTTTTAGTAGAGATGGGTTTTCTCAATGTTGGTCAGGCTGGTCTCGAACTCCCGACCACAGGTGATCTGCCCACCTTGGCCTGCCAAAGTGCTGGGATTACAGGTGGCCACCACCATGCCCAGCTAAATTTTTTGTATTTTTAGTAGAGACAGGGTTTCACCATATTGGCCGGGGTTGTCTTGAACTCTTGACCTCAGGTGACCCATCTGCCGTGGCCTCCCAAAGTGCTAGGATTACAGGCGGGAGCCACTGAGCCCTGCATTATCTTATTTATTTAGAGACAGGCCTCGTTCTATTGCCTAGGCTGGAGTTCAGTGGCACGATCTTGGCTCAAGGTAGCCTCGACGATCTTGGTAGCCACGATCCCGGGCTCAAGCAATCCTCCCACCTCAACCTTCCCAGTGGCTGAGACTACAGGTGTGTGCCACCACGCCCTGCTAATTTTTGTAGAGAAAGGGTCTCACCATGTTGCCTAGACTGGTCTCAAACTCCTGGGCTCAAGTGATCCTCCCGCCTCAACCCCCCAAAGTGCTGGAATTACAGGCTTGAGCCACTGCGCCTGGCTTCTGCTACTTTAGACATAAGAATAACTTCCTTTCAAGAAGTTTCTTTTAAAAAGTTCATGTGTGTGCCTGCATCTGTTCTCACTTAATTACTACAGAGGAGACAATAAATACTACTACTTATTTTATGTTCTAAGCAAACAATGAGAGGAAGGGTAACTATGGCTCCTGGTCATATTTTCATTTGCTAGTAATTAGCTCCACAAATTTCCAAAGCAGATTTCTTCCCAGTAAGCATATAACGAACCTTGCTCCCCTTTGTAAGAAAGGAGTTGAGGGGAAGCCCGGTTCTGGTCTCTCATAACCTTCCAGTGGGTGGAAGAACGTGGTAGAGTGATGGCAGCATGGAATTCCTCTTCCTTCTGTTGCTGCTTCCTGGCATTTTCATCTTTTGAATGCCACGGCCTGACTAGGTCAGCAGTGGAGGAGAAGTAGTCTCAGGAGCCAAGTTGAAGGACTTGAGAGCTCATGGAGACCATCTCCCCCACCATTCCCCCAGCTGCTGCTCCGTGAAAGAGCAGGACTCCAAAGAAGAGATCCCGTGTGCAGGAGCTCTCAGTGAGGGGGGTGGTACAAAGGGAGAGAAAAAGGTGGGGCGTGTTGGCTTATACTTGTAACCCCAGCACTTTGGGAGGCTGAGGCAGGCAGATCCCTTGAGTCCAGGAGTTCAAGACCAGCCTGGGCAACATAGTGAGACCCCATCTCTAAAAATATTTTAAAATTAGTTTGGCATGGCTGGGCGTGGTGGCTCATGCCTGTAATTCCAGCACTTTGGGAGTCTGAAACAGGCAGATCGCCTAAGGTTGGGAGTTCAAGACCAGCCTGACCAACATGGAGAAACCCCATCTCTACGAAAAAAAAAAAAAAAATACAAAAATTAGTTGAACATGGTGGCGTGTACCTGTAATCCCAGCTACTCAGGAGGCTGAGGCAGGAGAATTGCTTGAACCCAGGAGATGGAGGTTGCGGTGAGCCGAGATCATGCCATTGCACTCCAGCAACAAAGTGGAACTTCACCTCAAAAAAAAAGAAAAAAAATTAGCCTGGCATGGTGTCACATACCTGTAGTCCCAGCTACTTGGGAGGCTGAGGTGGGAGGATTGCTCGAGCCCAGGTGGTCAAGGCTCTCGTGAGCTGTGATCCTGCTCACTGCACTCCAGCCTGGGCGACAGAGCAAGACCCTGTCTCAAAAACCGAGACAAAAAAGGCAGAGAAAAGAAGGAGGAGTCAGTGGAAAACATTTGAGGGCCTCATCTTAATTGGGGCTTCTCGTTTCAAGGAAACATGCTGGCTCTGTCAACACCACTGTTGCAACAGAATTCCCTGTGTTGAAGCCTGTAAGATGCAAGCAAGAGCTTGCAAGCCCGCACCTTTAAGTTTTCCCAGTCTTCCAAGGTAACCATTTTATTTTAAAACAAAGCTCTGTAGTCGGTCCCCTCGGTGTTTTTAGAAGTCTTGTAATGTAGCATCTTCTGGAACCTCAGGGCTTTACCAGGGGATGATTCACACCCAGCCAATATCCCACCTTCAATTTCTTAATGGATCTCGTTTTGCAACCCAGGGTTTAAACCATGGAAAGACTTCAGACAGCTTGTTTACACATCAGAGTCAGAGACCCCAGGCCTCCATCTGTACCCCTGTCATATCTTCAGAACCTACCTTTCTGAGGTTTACTGAACGGATCAAATAAAATATTCTTATTATCACTAAGCAGGGATACACCAGGGTAACTTCCTTTATCTAAAATTAAAAGATTTCATTCATCAAAGGCAACTCCTGCCCCATCTCAACCCAACCCACACTCGTTACCTTATGAACTTATGTTTCTAATTTAATATAAATAATCATGATAGTGATGGAACAGGCTGAATAAGCATAACCTAGGCTGCTTTATCATTATCATATAGAGAAGAATGTCTTTTAAGGGTCCGCATATTAAAATGGAAACACAGTGCTTTGTTTAGTCTAATGCCCAGGGGAATTAAACAGAAAATGGTTCTTAGGCTGACAGCATCCAGCGTGCTTTGTAAAAGGCAGCTTCGCAGTCTGTGGAAGCCGTCAACCTGGGAAGGAAGGCTTGGTTTCCTCTTTGCGCTGATTAAGAGTCTAGCGCTTCAGAGTATAGTTCCAGACACGGAAGGAAGATCTTATCACTGGCCTTGGAAAAGCTCCATTGTTACAGCGGTCTTTGTTTCCTTCACGCCCAAAAGAAAGAAATAACATTAAAGGCTCATTTTGGTTTGTAATCTGTTTGGATCCAAGTGTTCATTCCTTACTGAGATTTTCTAAACCTATGAGACTATTTCACAGGATTGATGACTAATTCAAGTACTCTAAAGAGATCCACCAGTAAAATTTTAATCTCTCAGTCGCCTGGTACTCTTGATGATACCTATATTTACAAGCTCTAAATTAACATAGGATCTAAACTATTTATTATTCCCTGCCGATAAAATAAAATAGGACAGCAAATTAGATCAACTATTAGTTTAAGCAGAGCTTTCTTCAATTTAGTATATCTATACATACATTGTTGATCTAGTTCTATTGAAAGAGCAAAGAATATGGCCTCCAAAACTTCCACTTCCACTTTTTGGAATTTGTTAATGTTTTCTTTGTGTCCAATTATATGATTGAATCATCTAAATCCCCAAAGTCACAAAAGAACATATATTTTCTGCAGGATATAAAGTCATGTATATAATGTTGAGGGTGTTTATTTATATTTTCACACCTTATTCTTCCTTATTTTTATCTGCTTGGCCTAGTAAACTCTGAAAGAGATATAGTACAATCTTCTGGAATAATTTTTTTCATTTTTAAGTTATCTTGACATGAGTTTTTACTTTATGTATTCAGCTTTTTTGCTGCTTTGGCATGAACGAATACATTCTTGTAGCTTATATACTTTGATAATCTTTCTCTTTGCCCCATTTAATAGGTTTGGGTATGTTTTCATTGAAGCGCTCAAACCGTTTAGTTAAATGACATGAGGGTTAGTTATCAGATATGAAAAGGCAGTCTTTTCTCTGAATTATTACGGACAAAGACTGGGAAAAATTGAGTTGCCATGTTAAGGAAATCGATAATGAGTTAATTATTTCTTAAGTCTGGTTTTTTTTTTTTTTTTTTTTTTTTGAGATGGAGTCTTGCTGTGTTGCCCAGGCTGGAGTGCACTGGCATGATCTCGGCTCACTGCAACCTCTGCTTCCCGGGGTCAAGCGATTCTGCTGCTTCAGTTTCTCCAGTAGTTGGGATGACAGGCGTGCACCACCATGCCTGGCTAATTTTTGTATTTTTAGTAGAGACAGGGTTTCACCATGCTGGGCAGGCTAGTCTAGAACTCCTGACCTCTTGATCTGCCCACCTCGGCCTCCCAAAGTGCTGGGATTACAGCTGTGAGCCACAGAGGCTGGCCTCCTTAAGTCTATTTTTATTCCAATTATCTTTATTTAATAAGCTGAAGTAATTTCCAAAATAAATGAATAATGTTCTGATTTCTGGTCAGTGTCGATAGGAACAGAGTAAAAGCCATCAACCCAGAAGAGAAAACGCCTATTCTTATCTCCACCTTCCCTGCCATCTGTTCCTTATCTGTCTCTCATCAAACAATTTAGTTTTGAAAATAAAGTAGGTGTGTCTGGCTACTACCTGTGGGTGATAGTGAATTTCCCTAGAGTTTTCCACATCGAGTCGGCCGCATTGCTTTTCAGGAGGCGAGGAGCCGTCTCAGTTCTAGCGCTGGATGAAGAAGCAATCCCTGCGATTCTCTGGCTTCCTCTTAATGCCACTCTCCTGATGCAGGGAACAGCAGCGCTTCAGTTTGAAAGGCTTGGAACAAACTGATCCTTTTGTAAATATTAGAAATAACAAGTTGAGGCTTTATAGACTAAAAGCTACAAGACGTTCTTTCAGTTGATAAGCCAGTAAGTCAACGCTGCTTTACTTTTTACTTGACTTTATGAGAAATGGATAACCTCAGCTGCACTCTCAAGCGGCAGCATTTCATCAGTAGAAGAATGTTGTCAGGACACAGCCCCGGCCTCTTCCATCCTTTAGGCAAGAACTTATGAAAGGTTACTATTGCCAATATTTTACTGCCCCAGAAATGGCCATAAACACATTTCTACCTGTTGTACACTTAGGCAGGGGCAGTCAAAACGACTCTGTCTGTAAATGGCCTTTTATCATTTTTGGTGACAGCTGGAAGGAAGTCTTTAGAAATTTCTCTAGAGGGTGTGGTAGGATGTCAAAGGAATTCTGACTTTTAGCAGGAATCTTGAATGTGCCAAGTTCACACATGGCTGAAATATGTTCAATTCTTAATGAAGTAAATGGAAACAAGAAGAGAGGGACTGCAGAGAGTGCCCATTCTGTCACCCCAGATTAAACTCTTTACGCTCCTCCAAAAAGTGTTTGGAGATTCTTTTTTTCTTTTCTTTTTTTTTTTTCAGATAGGGTCTCACTGTGTTGCCCAGGTGCGGTGGTATAGTGTGCCATCTCGGCTCACTGCAACTTCAACCCTGCCTCCCAGGCTCAAGGGATCCTCCCACGTCAGCCTCTTGAGTAGCTGGGACTACAGGCACGTTCCTCCACCCCTGGCTAATTTTCGTATATTTAGTAGAGACAGCGTTTCACCATATTGACCAGGATGATCTCAAACTCCTGAGCTCAAATGGTCTTCCCTCCTTGGCCTCCCAAAATGCTGGAATTACAAGCATGAGCCTGGCCTACTTTTTATTTTTTTTACACTACATAGCAAATACTAAATAGGAATTTCTAGATACAGACCACCTAAGGAAGAAAAACATACAGAAAAAAAGTAATTCACACATAATTTTATGTATCTATTCCTTACCTAAACTTATAGCAATGAACCTAGAACTCTTTCTATTTAATTACATGAAACGAATTGTTAGAGGCTAATTTTTCCCTCAAGTAAAAATAATTACCAATTCTTTGCCTGTGTAATGGCTGGTGTATTTTTTTGTCCTTTTGTTTTGTTTTGTTTTGTTTTTGAAACAGGGTCTCATTCTGTCTCCCAGGATGGAGTGCCGTGGCACCATCTTGGTTCACTGCAACCTCCGCCTTGCAGGTTCAAGCAATTCTCATGCCTCAGCCTCCAAGTAGCTGGGACCACAGGCATGCACCACCACACCCAGTTATTCTTTCTTTCTTTCTTTCTCTCTCTCTCTCTCTCTCTTTGTTTCTTTCTTTCTTTCTTTCTTTCCTTTCTTTGCAGTTTTGTATAGATGGGATTTTACCTTGTTGGCCAGGCTGGTCTCAAACCCCTTACCTCAGGTGATCCTCCTGCCTTGGCGTCCCAAAGTGCTGGGATTACAGGCATGAGCCACAGCACCAGGCCTGTGTTTGCTATTCTATCAGCTTCCAAAAGTGCAAAAAGTTCAATTGTACATTTCTGCTCACAGCAGCACTATTCAGAATAGCCAAAAGGTGGAAGTAACACAAGTGTTACTTATGTTACATTATGCATGTATTTAATGACATTGAACTGTACACTTAAAAATGGTTAAGTTGGGCAGGGTGCTTAAGCCTGTAAATGCAGCACTTTGGGAGGCCAAGACAGGCGGATCACACGGTCAAGAGATCGAGACCATCCTGGCCAACATGGTGAAACCACATCTCTACTAAAAATACAACAATTAGGTGGGTGTGGTGGCACGTGCCTTTTCCAAGCTACTCAGGAGGCTGAGGCAGGAGAATCACTTGAACCCAGGAGGCAAAGGTTGCAGTGAGCCAAGATTGCACCACTGCACTCCAGCCTGGTGACACAGTGAGACTCCATCTCAAAAAAAAGTTTAAATTGGTAAACTTTATGTTTTGTGCATTTTACTACAGTAAAACAAAAATGTAGATAGTTGCTGATTCTGGAGAAGAAGGTAAATTTTCTCAGTAGAGGTGAAGAGAGCACAATTTGTGATCAACATTATTGAGAGAAAAACAGCTTTTGATTGACCAGACATACTTCAGAACTGAGGAAGACGGTGAAGAGTCTCCGATGTGTGTGTTTTTCATTTAAATTAAACCATGCCTTCTTGGGTCAAGCCAGGACCCAAAGTGTTCAGAGAAAGCTGAATTTTATGTGATATTTTGAGTCCAAACAGAAACAGGAAATTCCAGCAACCTCTGGAAAGAGAACAAGTTCCCTTGAGAAGTTCTCACTTAGTTTTCCATATTGAATGAGTTCTGAATGCTTCGAATGACATCCTGAAACACATGTGAACGATCTCAATCTCTTCATAGCTTCAGTGTTGGGTGAAGTTCAAACAACGAGTGATTATTTTAAGACTTAGAGTATACTGCATTGCAAAGAGGCAAAGTTAGATTCTACCCTGACCACAGAAGAGATGAAAGTGGCTATTCATATTATTTATGAGATCTTGCCTACCCAAAAAACGAAACCACTGAAGTCATTCCATTATGCATAATATCTTGAAGTCCCTTATTAAAGTAAATATACTGTAAGTCACACGGGGTGGCACATGTTACCACCAGAACGGTCAATCATCTAACTAGGTTAATGACTTATCACTTAACAGAATGGAAATGAAGAAAGGCGAAGAGAAAGGGAAGGAACACTTATTTAGCTCTTCCTATGTGCCTGCATTCAGCTAAGTTCTTTATGTGATTGCTTTTATTGAATCCATGTGACATTTTGATAAAATGAAAATTACTATTTCTTAAGTTTACAGTAAACAGAATTGAGACTTAGAGATGTTAAGCAGCTGGTCCACAGCTTTGAAGCTAAGAAGAACCTGGTTTTGAGGCTGGGTACAGTGGTTCACACCTGTAATCCCAGCTCTTGGGGAGGTCAAGACAGATGGATCCCTTGAGGCCCAAGGTTCAAGACCAACCTGGCCAACATGGTAAAACTTCATCTCTACTAAAATACAAAACATATTGCCAGGCGTGGTGGCACATGCCTGTAATCCCAGCTACTGGGGAGGCTGACGCACAAGAATCAGTTGAGCCCGGCAGGCAGAGGTTGTAGTGAGCAGAGATCACACCAGTGCACTCCAGCCTGGGTGACACAGTGAGGAGTCCAGGTCTGACTGATTCCAACCCCTGCCAGGTTAGTATCCACCCAACGTCTGAAGGAGGAAATCAACGCAAAAGGAACACAGCAGTGCTGCTCTATACAATACAATAGAAATACAATACAATGGAAATACAGTGTGAGGCACATGTGTATAATGCAAGGCACAACTGTAGCCACATTTTAAAAAGTATGAAGGTTCCATGACCGGGCACAGTGGCTCCTGCCTGTTATCCAAGTGCATTGGGAGGCTGAAGCAGTAGAACTGCTTGAGTCCAGGAGCTTGAGATCAGCCTGGGCAAGATGAGAAGACCCCATTACAAAAAAAGTAAAAATTAGCTGAGCATAGTGGCATGTGCCTGTAGTCCTAGCACTTTGGAAGGCTGAGGTGGGAGGATAACTTGAGCCCAGGAAGTTGAGGCTGCAGTGAGCTCTGGTCTTGCCACTTCACCGGAGCCTGGACAATAGAGCAAGACCCTGTCTCTCAATAAATAAATAAATAAATAGTCAAATTAATTTTAATAAGATATTTTATTTACTTTAATATAGCCAAACTATTATCATTTCAACATGTAATTGTCATCAATTTTTTTTTTTTTTAATTGAGATAGAGTCTCACTCTCTTGCTCAGGCTAAAATGCAATGATGTGATCATAGCTCACTGCAGCCTTGAACTCCCGGGTTCAAGTGACCCTGCCTCAGCCTCCTGGGCCGCTGGGACTACAGCCACATACCACCATGAGCAGCTAAATTCTTCATTTTTTTTGTAGAAATGGGGTCTCACTATGTTGCCCAGGCTGGTCTCAAACTCCTGGGTTCATGCAATAATCCCACTTCAGCCTCCCAAAGTTCTGGAACAACAGGCGCCAGCCACCATGCTTGGCTACTTTTAATTTTTACTTTTTTTGTAGAGATTCAGTCTTGCTATCTTGCCCAGGCTGGTCTCAAGCTCCTGCACTCAAGCGATCCTCCCACCGCAGCCTCCCAAAGGGCTGGGACTAAGCTGTGGACCATGGTGCCCAGCCAGCTTAAAAATGATAGAGGCTTTTTTTTTTTTTTGAGATGGAGTCTTACTCTGTCGCCAGACTGGAGTGCAGTGGCACAATCTCGGCTCGTTGCAACCTCTGCCTCCCGCGATTCTCCTGCCTCAGCCTCCCAAATAGCTGGGATTACAGGCGTCCACCACCATGCCCAGCTAATTTTTGCATTTTTAGTAGAGGTGAGGTTTCACCATGTTGACCAGGATGGTTTTGATCTCCTGACCTTGTGACCCACCCACGTTGGCCTCCCAAAGTGCTGGGATTTACATTACTTTTTATAATAACACTTTGAAATCTAATATGTAGTTTATATTTCTCACTCCTCTTAATTCAGAGTAATCACATTTCAAGTGCTCAGCAATCACGTGGCTAGTTGCTGCCATACTGAACAGTGTCACTCCACAGCACCGACTCCTTGTAGATTTGTACCATTCACAAGTTTGGCCATTATAATTTTGTCTTTATCTAAATTACTTATTAAAATATTGGCCAGGCCGGGCGCAGTGACTCATGCCTGTAACCCTAGCACTTTGGGAGGCCAAGGCAGGCAGATCATTTGAGGTCAGAAGTTCAAGACCAGTCAGACCAACATGGTGAAACCCCGTCTCTACTAAAAATACAAAACAATTAGCCGAGTGTGGTGGTGCATGCCTGTAATCCCAGCTACTCGGGAGGCTGAGGCAAGAGAATTGCTTGCACCTGGGAGACAGAGGTTGCAGTGAGCGGAGATCATGCTACTGCACTCCAGCCTAGGCGACAGTGCGAGACTCCATCTCAAAAATAAATAAAGAAAGAAATAAAATAAAATATTGGCCAAGACAAGGACCTGGAAAAGTTAAGTGAGAATTATTATCTGACTCAGCAATCCCACTTTTTGACATACGCCCAAGAGAAATGACATGAAATGAAAACATTTTAGGAAGAAGTAAAAACACACATCTTCATGAAAATTTGTACACAAACATTCATATCAGCATGATTCAAAATATCCAAAAAGTGGAAACAACCCAAATGATGACCAGTTGAAGAATGGATAAGTAAAATGTGTTATATCCGTGGAATGGAATCTTATTCAACAATGAAAAAGAATGAAGTCCTGATACATGCTACAACATGGATATATTTTGAAAACATTATACTAGGAGAAGGAAGCCAGTTACAAAAGAACCACATATTGTATGATTCCATTGATATGAAATGTCCAGAATAAGCAAATCTATAGAAAGACTAAAAGTAGATTAGTGCGCTGGGCACAGTGGCTCATGCCTATGATCCTAGCACTGTGGGAGGCCAAGGTGAGAGGATCGCTTTAGCCCAGGAGTTTGAGACCAACCTAGGCAACA